TCCCAGCTACTTGGGAGGCTGAGGCAAGAGAATCACCTAAGCCCAGGAGTTGGAGGTTGATATGAGCTGTGACGCCACAGCACTCTACCAAGGGCAATAAAGTAAAATTCTTGTCTCAAAAAAAGACTGGAATACTTAGGGTTCATCACACTAGGCCCACCCACACACACGTGGCATGGCTCCTGACAGCTTCAGGTGGTGGTACTGCTCTTTGCAGTGGGAATTGTGGGCAAGCATTGCAGTGTTGGCCTTGGAGTGGCAGATCCAGACATGTTGGGGTATTGTGAGACCTCAGCCAGGCCCCGGGCATCTGCACTCCCTCAGTAGCTACCCAGGGCCCTACCTAGACTCCACTTGAAGGCATAGTTCAGGCACTCTGCAGGACACGTTTCCACCCCACCAACCCAATGAGACCTCGCTGGAGTCTCCCAGAAGCCAGTAATGAGATAAATGGAATGGTGGTCCTTAGGAAATGCACAGCTCCGGGCTGTGAGGCAGCCCACTGAAGGAGTGGCACAGTTGCACCTGAACACAGCTAAAGCTGGACCAGGGAGGAGTGGGCCACAGAGAGCCTCCAGGGGCACTAGCTCTTCACAGCCCCAGACAACCCCTCCTGGGCCAGGCAGGGTGAGGTGTCCAAGGGCAGAAGGCTGAGGGTAGACAAAAGATGAAGAAGACCCTTACAGCAGAGGGACAGTACTAGGTGCCCTGCAGAGGGCCACTGCGGAGCTGCCCAGCTCAGCCACAACTCCAGCCCAGCACTTCCATGTCTGCAGGGGCCAGGGGCACAGATGGTGCTGCCTCCTCTCTAACCACCACCCCTAAGGACCCCAAGTAACTAACTTCAAACCACTGCCCCGCCCCCGCGGGCATCCCCCCCCTCCCCCAGTGGATGGTGAAAGGACAGATGAACAGCCCCAGGCAAAAATGGATGCTTGGGGCTGATGGTCAGTTTCGAAACCTGCCTTTTCTCTGTGGTCTGAGCCGTTAAAGCCGTTATATTTCATGCTTGAGCAGCTGTCCTAGAGCATGTCCCCAGCTCATTCCTATATGGGCCATCTTTGCCCTGGTGCTTCTCAGCAGGGTAGACCCTGCCAGAGACTTAGCTGGAGCTAGGAGATTCCCCAGTGCCTCCAAGGTCACTGACAGGCACCTGGGCCAGGATGGCTCCCACAGGCCCAGCTGCCGCCCCTGCCATCCTTACCAGGCCCCTGTGGGTGCCCTTAGAGGCTGATGTGGAGCTGCTTGTGCTGGAGGTCCAGACAGAATGGCACCTTCCCTTGCAGGTGTCCCAGACACAGATCCGAGAGCAGCCATAGGAAGGCTGGACCAGCCCTCAGCTCTGATCCCTAGGAAGCAAAGACCCTAACCAGCTTCTCAGGGAACTGCTCTGGCCCCAGGTTGGGTCAGGCAAAGGCTGTGAAGCTTGGGTTCCTTGGCCCGGAGCAGACTGACCTCTGCTGGGAGAGTGGGCTCCCCGGTGGCTACCAGAGCCAGGTAGGCCCTTCAGGTCTCTTCTTAGAAGGCCCAACAGAAATCTCCAAGCCCAGGATGTTTGTGTTGTCAGCAGGTCTGTTTACGGGGCAAGGGCCTTCTGAGGCACAGGTTGAACCGTAAGTTTAATCTTTCTGTGCTCAGATTTCTCCAGTTTCAGTTAGACTTGTGAACTCAGACCCAAAGTGCCAAGTTGTACAGACACAGTGCCAACAGCCAGGACTTTGTTCTGGCTCCTCCCTGGTGCAGGATAACACGAGGTGGCACCTGCTGAATGTGCCTGACGTGTCTCTCAGGTCCCAAGTCTAACCTGAGCCGTTGTTCCCACTTGTTCATACAGTCTGGTGCACTGGGGCCAGGCCTGGCCTGGGTGCCCTGTGAGCCAGCACCTGTGGCTCCCAGTAGCCCACAAGCTTCCACCTTCTCAGCCACTCCTTGATGGACCATTCTTCCACTGAAGAGGATAACCAGTTGCAGCCCACACAAGATCATTGTCTGTGACATGCCCAACTAAGCACCAGTTATGATTCCTAAGAAACTTCGTTGTGCCAGCACTGTTTTGTACTCACCACACCCTGCACCCAGGCCTCTGGAGCTGTAAGAACTGCAGTAAAGGGACTCGAGAGCAGGACTCAAGAGCATTTCCCAGCTGTTCAATAGCCTGCTGTTAACACCCTCAACACCTCTGATTAGACAGACTGTAGACTCAAGGGGAGTTGTTCTGAGAATTCTAGGAGTTTTTTGCTGTTGTTGTTCCAAGTAGCTGGGACTATAGGTGCCCACCACAATACCCGGCTATTTTTTTTTTTATTGTAGTTGTCAATGTTATTTGGCAGGCCCAGGCCAGCCCCAATGTATGTGGCCACTGCCCTAACCACTGAACTATAGGCGCCGAGCTGGTGGGTTTTTTTTTTTTCCCAAACACAGAGTCTCACTTGCACTTGGTCACCCTTAGTACAGTGCCCTGGCATCATATCTCCCAGCAACCTCAAACTCCTGGGCTCAAGCAACTCTCTTGCCTGAGCCTTCCAAGTAGCTGGGACTACAGATTCCCCAGTAATGCCTTGCTATTTTTAGAGACGGAGGGTGAGGGGTTGGGGATGGGGCTGGGGGGGTGGTCTCACTCTGGCTCAGGCTGGTCTCAAACCTGTGAGCTCAGGCAATCCACCTGCTTCAGCCTCCCAGAGTGCTGGGATTACAGGTGTAATTACTGGCCTAGATTTTTAATTTTAAAAGATCAGTTTGGTTGGCCAAGCATGGTGGCTTACATCTGTAATCCCAGCACTCTGGGAGGCCAAGGCAGGTGGATTGCTTGAGCTCAAGAGTTTGAGACCAGCTCAGCACCTGTGGCTCAAGTGGCTAAGGCGCCAGCCACAAACACCTAAGGTGGTGGGTTCGAATCCAGCCTGGGCCCGCCAAAACAACAATGATGGCTGCAACCAAAAAATAGCCAGGCGTTGTGGCGGATGCCTGTGGTCCCAGCTACTTGGGAGGTGGAGGCAGGAGACTCGCTTGAGCCCAGGAGTTGGAGGTTGTTGTGAGCTGTGATGCCAGGGCACTCTACCC